TCGTCCGTGGGCTGTGGCATCCTGGGGGTGCAAGGTCTCATCCCATTTGGGCCATTGCCTTTCTCCGCCACCTCGGGCGCGTTAATGAATGATCTAAGCCTGGTTCTTTTAGCTCCAAAGGAGATGGTAGTGCCGTCTCCAGGACGGCGGTGAGACTCCTCCGAGCTGACGGTGTGAGTCGCAGAGCGGCGCTGTTTGGCAGTTGGGCAGCGCTCAGTAACAGGGGCTGCTATTATCTGCTTGGCTTGCTCCTCGGGCCGTCAAGGTGTAGGTTTAATGATGGGGGCTCGGGGTGGGGGTGAGGGCGCCCGGTCGGCTGCGATCTCGTGTGCCGCATTTATTGGTGGCAGGTATTTGGGGAGTAATTGAGCGCGGCGGCCGGCCTGGGGCGAGAGTGGGCCTCCGTGAGCAATTAAATGTGATTAGGCCGAGACCTTCAGGATCCAGCTGGGTGATTGATAACCCGGCCGCATTCCTGCCGGGCCCGCGACATCAAACGGGCGGCCGGCGGCGGGCCGGGCGGAAGGGGCCGCGCTCCTGGACACTGCCCTTCTCGCCCGCGACGCCCACGGTTCCACGGGGAGCCTGGGCGACGTGCCCCCTTCCTGCGCGGGGGTCTTTCCCTTGCTCCCGTGCCAGGTGCGCCCGGGAGGGAGGGCCCGAGAGACGCGGAGGCCGGCGCAGCGCTCCGGGCGAGCGCGGCCGCCCCGCGGGCTGGGCTCCCCGATCGCGCGCAATCGCCGGCGGGGACGAATGGAAGAGAACGAGAAGGGAGGGGTAGGAGAAGGTGGGAATGAGACTCAATCAGGAAACGGAAAAAGATTGAGAGACAGGACGGAGGCGCAAAGGGAGGAACAGAGTTAAAAAGAGCATGAAAAGAAATTGTCTACAGTAAGAAGACAGGAAAAAATTAGAAAGATATAAAGCGGGACAGACAGAAGAAGAATAAAAGGAGGGGAGACGTAATAAAGGAGAAGAGACAGAAAAAAGGGAAGGAAAGGAGGGAAGGGGGCAAAAGATGAGAAAGGGAAGCGAGGGACAAAGGATGAGGAAGACGGAACAGGAAAGTCAGAGGAAAGCAAAGACAGGAAGACGCTGGCCTGGGTCCCCCAGCCTCTCCCCTGCACCCTCCCGCCCCTGCCTCGGTCCCCGCAAAGTCTGTGCCCAGAGCCAAGTGCCGGGCGCCTGGGAGACCTGGCATTTGCCCCCAGAGCCCGGCTCCTTCCCAAGCCGAGCAGCAGACCACTCCTCTCCTTCCCGGCTGGAGGAGCGGAGCCCACACCTACGCCAGGGTGAGCTGGGGGCTCCCTGCACCCCAAGCCCCCCAGACCTAAATCACAAGTGGAGGTGCTGGGGTTCCCTGGTGTGTTGCCTCGGGGTCCCCCAGTCCCCGGAGCCAGGGAGCGGTTTCTGTCTGTGCTGACTCCACAGACAGGATCAAAACAGCATGAAAGAAATCAGAGAGAACGTCGTCGGCAGGAGCTGGACTTCTAAAACCCCCTTCCGCCCCCATAGGCTTCAATATTAAAAAACCCCCTAGGAGCCTCAGACACTGTATTAATTAGTGCAACCACCCATGAAAAGTTGGGTTTGGAGCGGCATTCTTTGCCCTGTGTGAAAAACCAAGTCTAATAAACAATTGTTAAGTTGGCCTGTTGCCGCTGGTAAATTACATAGCATTAAAAAAATAATGCTTTTCATATTAGGCACTAATTAAAGGTTGGGACAGCTTTAAAACAAGATAGGGAGGGGGGAAATCAAAGAAAATATAAAAATGTTCTTTCAAGAGTTATGGGAGGTTAATAAACTATGTCTGTTAGAGTGAGCCTACTTTGCCCCTAGCTACAGCCAAACTGGAGCCACCACAATTGGGTCTCAATAAGATAATGATATTCCTTTCTCTGCTATTAAAAGCCTCCCAGTGCAAACTTAAAATGATTTATTTAATTTAGGAAATTATGAGGTGTAACTTCAAAGCCTGAGCCGTTAGTAATGGAAAATACCAGGTTGTTTAAAATTATAATAATAATTGTTTGGAGGACTCAGGACATCAAAGTGTTTTCATCAACAAATGCAGAGGGGTCCGAGGAGGCTGGAAGGAGTCAAAGGAGGTGGTGGAGTTTGGATTTGATTATTATAAACCTTATCAGGGCAGGATTCAAGATTCCCGCAGCCTGGTACTCCGTGCTGCTTTGGAGCAGGCTATTTTGGAAAGTAATTTTACTGCTTTTTGTTTAGTTCATAGGAGGGAGGAGGTGGGAGGTGGCAGGGGGTGGTAGAGGGGCTATAGGCGTCCAGGAGTTGACGGGGGCTTCCACTCCTTGCTGAGGTCACTTTATTTGTTCAAGAGCCCTGCAGCATCACCGTCTGGGGGGCAGGGGGACAGCTTTGCTTACACGAAGGGGAAAACAGGCACAGTCAACCTCGCCAACCAGGCCCTGCGATTTGGAGAGGGAGTGTGTGTGACGTGGGCTCTTTTATAAATGAGGTTTCTGCTTATTTCAAACCCAGCAGTGGAGAGGGAGAGGGGGTGGGGAATGGCCTCTCCAACCCGTGGCAAATGAGCGGCTTTTATAGCAAAGAATGGCCGTGGGAGTTTTCATTCGGTCAGACAAGGTTCTGCTCAAAGGCAGGGATCCTCTTTTCAGTCGGGTCAGGCAGACGTTTCGCCAGCGCCCGCTCTCAGCCAGGCCTCCGCCGCCTACCTCCTGCGGCCCTGCCCCCGCCCCCATCGCGGGCTGGGCTGGGAGGGGGAGGGGAGGGGAGGGGGCTTGGACCGAGCCCCAGGTCCAAAGCGACGCGGGAGTTGGAACCCTCAGCCAGAAACCCCTCAGGGCAATGCGGGATGGGGAAGGGGGGCCAGAGAGAGACTCCGGACCTGTGTTCTCAGGGTCTGGGGACCGGGAGGGTTCCCCCGCCCCGCATCGTTTCTGAGACAGCTCCTGCAGGGCCTGCCTTTGATAAACCCGACGCCCACCTCCTCAGCTCACACTTAGGCCTCGAGCCCCCTGTCCCCACGTACCAGCTCTCTGAACTTGGCGAGCAACCTTTCTGTGCCTCAGTGTCCCCAACTATATATGACATCAATAATACCTCTCCAAAAGGTGTGTGACAACTAAAAGAACATATGCGACAAAATGCCTGGTTCTGTACTCTGCAGGGGCTCCATAAATGCGATCCCCCTGCTTTCTTCTCTACTTTCCAAAAGCAGAGCTGTCTCTCTAGAAAAGTTCTGGACGAAAGCGTTGAAAGTCTGGAAGGGAGGGTGGATTTCTGTGCCAGGCTTCTGACAGCGGATGCGGGGATGTCCAAAGCCCGCACGCTGGCACCTTCGGCTTTCATTTCCAATGCGCAGCTGAGCGGGTCCTTGGTGAGTGAGGGTCTTTCTGCCGCCACAGGCTGTCAATCTAGCCTCTCAAACGCAACGCCCGCGTGCCCCAAGCCTGACCGCCCCCGGGCCCGTAGTGACTGCTGAACCCAACCTCGGGCGACAGCCGGGCCCTGCGGACCTCTGGCCTGGTCCTCAACTCGGTCACCCCATCCACCTCTAGCTTCGGGTGCATCAGTTTGGACGTGAGCAAAGCTTTCCCCTCTCCCAGCATCAAGTGTTGGCAAGTGGGGCGATGGGGATGGTGCGCAGTCTACCAGCGGGATTCCAGTCTGCCCCGCCGGCCACGCGCGACGCACCCCGATTCTCCGAATCGACTCGGAATCGCACCTTCCCCCGGAGCCCGCGTCTCCGGATCCCCCACCCGGCCGAGATCGCCCGGGGCTGCGGGTCCCAGCGGCGCCGGAAGGAAGCTCGGTGGACAGGCTAATTAGGGACCCACCTTGGCGGCTGCTGACGAAACCGGGAAGGGCTTTGGCTTTTGGAAAACACATCCCTTAAATGAATATGGCTGGATTCCGGGCTGGGGTTGCGAGTTCGAGCCGGAGAGGCTCAGTGGGATGGCGGAGGCGCACATTTGGGGAGATTTGGGTCTCTTTATCAGCCTTCACCCTCTAGTAGCCCCTTCGGTTTGGGTCCCGCTCCGCGCTGAAGCTGTGAAACCTCTTGGACAAGGTGCGCGACCCGCGGCAGCCCGGGCCCCACAGGCAAATGGAGTTTCCGGCGCCCACCTCCAAAGTGCGCGCGGGCACAGTGGCGACGCGGGCGCAGCGCCACTCCAGTAGGTGCCAGGCGCTAACGTGCCCGCTGTACGCTTTCCGCTGCAAGCCCTCGCTTCCCTCCTGCCTCTGCGCCCAGGGTCACCAGCGCCTCCCATCCGAAAATAGACCAGACATTGATACCATCGGGAGCCACTTCGGATTTATTTGTGCAACAGAAATCTGAGTTTAAGATCCTTCTCGGTCTCCCCACCCATCATCGGCCCCAGATCGAGTTTCCACCGAGTTAGGGAGGCCGGACTCCCCCCTTCAAACGTAAAAGGGTTTGGTTGGGGTGGAGGATCCATTTCCCCGGAGGGACAGAGGAATGGTAAACGGAATGCGATTTGACTCGCTCCAGAAAGGGCAGCAGGCGTCCACACTCGCCCGCACCCCGACCCAACGAAGCCGTCTAGTTACCGTCTACACTTGCAGAGGGCTGTGGGTCCCTTTCCCTCAGCTCTAAGTTTGTTGTTTCGGTAGCTGGGATATTTCAAGTTCAAGATCTTCCCTTGATAATCTACAAACTACTTAGATTCTGGCCAGTCCCTCTGCCTCACTGCTTCTTTTAAGCTCATCTTTCACTGTAGTGTTTCTGAGAAACTACCGGCAATGCCGCCTCTTCCAGGAGTAACACAAGCTGCCACAGGGAACACTGATTGCAAAGTATTTCAGTATTTTTTTCTAATTGACTCCCTGCCACCACCAACACTCCTCCTCCCTAACATGGCTTGAATCTGGCCACAACTCTTGATTTACATTTAAATAATAATAAAATAATAAAAAATACCAGACCCTACCCCCATCTGATGGCATTTTTGAGCTAGGCCCAGCTAAGACAGCACCTCTTAAAATAATTGTGAGTTTGAACAAAGTTTTCTGCAATAAAACAAACATTTAATTTAATTCAGAATAAGAGATAAGAAATAACTCTTCAATAAAATATATAAAATTGTACAAGGCACCCTTTCAAAGGGATAAAAGTACACTGAAGGGAGGGAAGAGATGGACAGGAAGTGAAATACCAGGGAGCTAAATGGGCTGTTTGACAACACCATTTTTAGCAAGCCAAAACATGGTTTTACCCTCTGCCCCCAACGTGTTAAAAAGTATATAAACTTTTCTAATAAGTTTAGCACATACAACAGGTACACACACAGAGAAAGCATTTTTTTTCTGATCTATTAATTGTTCAAGAATATTTAGCATATAGATAATGGTTACAAGATATTCTTTTTTTAAGCAGGAAATTACCACACACCCCCAAATTACCTTTGCCATGTGAGGGTGGACATACCTAGTATTTCACAGAAACCATCAATTCCTCCCAACAGGCTTTAACTTTTTACCCTCCTATTATCTGAAATGAAGTTAACAGTCTTGAGAAGAATTAGGAAGTGTTCCGTTTTCAACCTCGACCCAGGCATTCTCAGGATTCTTCTCACCAGCATTACTGATTTTACCCCCCCCCAAAAAAAGGTAAAACTTTAACAATGTGGGGGGAGGGATGAATAAGGCCAAATATGGTAGTATCTAATGAGGTTTCTTTAATGCAAGTAAAATGCGAAAATTTGATGTGTCCCCTTCACTTCGAAGAATCTCACCATTTCTAATACTTTCTGTGCATTATGACTAATTCTAATAGTTTTTTCCATAAGCAGAAGTCAATCATCCTATCAAAATCGCCAAAGTTTAGCAAATTTTGTAAATAATTTATCTCCCCCTTTAAGAAAATACAATAAATGGACTTAAGCAGTCTTTTAAGAAGGTGATATATAGGAAAAAGTATATATAGGAATATAAATTTTGCCTCTCAAAATAATTTGAATTTTTATGTCTGCTGTATAAAAATGTATTATATTTTATTATATATATTTATATGTAAAAACCATCAAAGCCAATCTTCGTGAAAGGAGAAAGGGGCATCTGGATGATTATGCCAAGAAAACAGGGCTTGGTGCCTCCACCTAAAGCACAAATTTCAACTATCTCACGTGGCCCTGCCGGCCTAGCGCTTAGGGTGGTGCATGCAAGGTTTGCAGAGCAGAAGTACTGGGCTGGTACTGCCTTCTTGGAGAGGGGAGGGAACCCTTTGAAACAAACATCCACCACGGGAGTCTGTGGATCTGGTCTTCCTTAGGATAGGTGGTACATGCCATATCCAACCGGCGTGGCATAGAGTCCGACGGGCGGGATGGGAAGCACAGGTCTATGGAAGGGGTAGGATGCTCCGTATATGGACGCTGCTTGCAGGGGTGAGCTGATGGGGAAAGGGAGACTGAAGCCGGAGGGTAGCATAGGTTTTGCAGCCATTTTCAGCTTTTCCAGTTCTGCCTCCTGCAGTCTTTTCGCCTTGGCCCTTCGGTTCTGGAACCAGATTTTGACCTGGGTCTCTGTGAGGTTCAGAGAGCTCGAGAACTCTGCACGCTCTGCAATGGAGAGGTACTGTTTCTGGCGGAACTTGCGCTCCAGAGCAAGGAGCTGGGACGTGGTAAAGGGTGTACGCGGCTTCCGATTGGTCTTGTGTTTCCTCAGGGTGCAGGTGGTAGGGCTCATGTGTCCTAGAGAACAGACAGGGGAGCAGATTAGCAAGAAAGCCGCATTCTCTCCAGGTTTGTCCCCACAGGCCTTTCCTCTCAACTGAAATCAGGCAGCGATAAAAAAAGGGGGGGAGGGTATGTTATACGTGTGCTTACGCTCACGTGCAAAAAGATACCTCTGTGAAAACCATGTCTATTTGGGGGGCAGGTGGGAATGGAGAAGGACCATATTGAAGAAACAGGTAAGTTGCTTTATTTTTAAAAAGGAGTCTTTTCATGAAAAGTTGGGGAATCTGATGGTGTAACAGAACTTTCTATATGGAAAACAGCATTACCAATAATAGAAATAGAATATAAATCATAAGTCGAGGGAGTCAAGTGTTCTCTGAGAAAAAGAAAACTCCATCTTTCCTGGGCTCAATTTCTGTTGTCTCTAAAAATAGGAGACTGAGTTCCTGTTTATCCTCACCTTCCTTGGATGCTGAGATAATCACAAGGGAGAAGGAGAATGAAGAGGGTCTTAGCAATTGGAATAGCCATTCCCCTTGGTTCCCTCTCTGAACGAGGAAAAACTGGATTGTGTCAGAATACTTATGAAGGATAATCATGCAGATAAGGTCTGTGGTAAATTAATAGCATCTTTGGACTTGGGGGCAGTCCCAGGCAGTAAACAACCCCACAGCTGTCATTCCATCCAGTCTACAGATTATAAAACCCGAACATTGTTTTAAAGATCTGATGTGGGATAAGTTTCTTGGCCGGGTGCTTCTGTAATATAAACTTTACTAAGACGAAGGGAAAAATTAGCTAGCCCATAAATGTAAATGTCAGGGGAGACCATGCTGCCTCCGAATTGAGAGCACGTGATGACATCTTAGTCATCTCCGCTACCATCCTATGGTTTAAGGCAAATGTGTAAATGATTAGTTTGTCGACAAAATTTAGAAGTTGGGGATAAAAAGGAAAATAAAGGCATACCAACAGCATCCAGACTACACATTTAAAATGGATTCAGTTATAGCAGATCATAGGACTGGGCGTCCTTGTGTTTCCACAGCATCAACTAACTTGTTTTCCTCCAGACTTGGGGGAGGAGGTAGAGCTGAGGCATAGAACACTAAACAATTAATTTTCTGCGCCTGGCTTTTATGAGCTATGCTAATTTTCCGAATGTAGCCACAGTATTAACTTCAATATACTCATGGGGAGAATGTTGAATTTCTTGTTTAGTTACTTTGGTGGCCCAAAAAAAGAGTTTACACTTCATACTTGAGGGTGACACAGCACAAGTCCCAACCCGGCCTCCGTTTCCAGAGAGAGATAGATTTGTCCTGGTGTCACATTATTAACCATCACTTCACCTACTGAAAAATAAAGAGGTAGCAGGTTCTGTCATCAATCAAAGAGAAATCTGGGAAAGAGATGGGTAAGAAATGACCATGGAAGTCTATGCTTTTGCATGTGCTAATCCTTAAGCCAGAGAGCTGGAGAGCCTACTTCTTAATTTACAAATTAACTAACAGTGGCCAACAGAGACCCTTGAGAGACCTGCAAAATTCTTACGCTTTCCAAACCTGGCCTGGCTCTCAGGAGGACCCAGGTGTCCCAGCTCAGATACTAAACCCCTAATGTATACACTTGCTCCTGGCTCTACTTGAGGGTTAGAAGCATCTCCGTCCCTAGGCAGGGTAACTGCAGCTGCTCCTTCGGGTTCCATCTGAATTATGAAATCCAGGCCCCAGGGATCACACACGTGTGTCAAAGCCATGAAGCTAGGAGGCTTCCTCCCAGGGCACCTCTCCCCAATTCCCCCCAACCCCTGCCCTGTTTTAAACCAGCCAGAAGAAAGATGCATTCATTATACAACGCAAAATAGCATTTATCCTACTTCCTCCCAATTACAAAACCAGGCCCAGAAGGGTGGTTGCCTCCAGCCCTGGGCTCCAAGCTTGATGCTCCTTGGACCCACTGCTCAACCATAGGGCTCCTGCCAACACCTCCAGGCCCAAAGCACCAACAACCTTGTACGTTTTAAAATAAAATCTTTTCTTGGAATTTCTAGCTCTTTTCCAGGAAAGGTCACATCCAGGGCCCAAGGCTGCCTTACCAAGAGCAGGGAAGCTTGAGTGCAGGGCAGGGACGTGAACAAGGCTAGTGGGGCACTGTCCTCCCAGACCTCCAGGCCTAAGGATGCAGGGATTTCTGACCTCTGGACACTACTCTATAAAGGCCTGTATTCTTGGTACACCGCTGGGCACTGTCCCAGGCCTTGGAATCTACAGGCACTCAATATTTGTTAAACAAATTAAATCTCTTAATGTTTCTGAGCCTCTTTTTCACAGTCAATGAAATGGGTAACGCCAATCCCAGCATATGGTTCTGAGTACTAAATTTTAGAATTGCCCCAGCCAGGTCTGCCACTTGGTAGGTGATCATTAAATGTTCCCAAGTTGATTTTTTTTTGTCAAGCCCAAACTGCCAGTTCCTCTGAACTCTACTGAAATGTTCTCATCTGTTAACAAGGGGCTGGCTGCTGCCCTACAGAGGTGATCAGATAAGATAAGATGGTGAAAAGTGCTGTAAAGCACTGTACAAACTTGATTTTAAATTCTCTGAGTCCTTAATCTCCTGGCCCTTAGAGTCTTTGAGAGTTTCTAACAGGGTGGAGAGAGACTGCCAAAGGGGCCAGCCAGTGGTGCCTGGGTATATATGGCCTTGTTTTGTTCACAAAATACTGTGCATCTCCAGCCTTGTGGGCTGAATGATAGTAGAGAAAGGGTCAGGGGGGAGCAGGGAGAAGTGATGGGGGAGAAAAATCGTAAAGGCCGAAAGACAGAAGTAGAGGTATCTATAGGGAATGACTTTTCCAGACTGTAAAACAACCTGAGGCCCCAAAATGGATGCCTAAGGGGGAGGAGAAATCTTAGCCTCACTCGTGGGGTGCAGGTGTGGGCCTTGGTGTATCCCGGGAGAGGGAGCAAAGGTGGCCAGGGAGGAGGAGAGGAGCAAGATCTGGACACCAGGTGCCCTGCGCCTAATCCCGCGGCTGCTGGCGACCTGGGACGACCAAGTGCTGTTCTCAGCGTCCGCGACTGAAAAGGAGGGCAGTCACAGGGCCCGCGCCTTTGCCCACCCTTGGGGATTCTGCGAGGATCCGATCTGGTGAACTGATGAGCATCACTCTGTAAATTCCCTGCTGGAATGCTGTTAATTATTACTATAAGCCAAGCAGAGCCCGCGCGCGTCTGGCCCCAGCCCGCTCCCGGCGAAGCTCAGACCCTCGCCGGGGAGGTGCTGGCTGCGGGGACGACGGGGAGACATTTCCTCCTCGCGTCAGTCTCTGCCACCATCACTTCGTGGGGTTCGGCTTTGACACTCGCGGAACCCACGAAAGAAAATGATTTCTACTCGGTGTCTGCTAAGTCCAGTCAACTCATCTTTAAAATGCGGGCGCACCTCGCAGGGTTATAAGCTCGGAAAGGAGGTAAGGTACCCCGTGTCTGACACACATGCGAGTGCTCATTAAAGTGGATCCCCTCGCTCCCCATACAGGGACCCCGTGGACCGAGAAACCGGAAGCCAAGCGGCCGGAGCGCAGGACCGAGGGCCGTAGAAGCCGACATCGAGTGTGACCCCGCAAGCACAGTTGGGGTTCGCTCCCGTGTTGAACACTCCTATAGGCGGGGATCTCAGACGCACACAGCGCGGACGTTACCCAAGGGAGCCCTGGATGCGGACGACGCGCTTAGCTCCCGGGTCCCGGGCTCGGGGGCTGCCAGGCTTGCTTGCCGGGCGAGCGGCGCGCGCAGACAGACTCTCGGCGCCCGCAGCCGGGGCCACCCGCCCCCAGCGTCCTCCAGCTCCCCTGGCCCCGGCCCGGGCGCGCACTCACTTGGCGGCGGCGAGTATCTGCCGGGTTCCTGCATCCACGCCGCCCCATCTTCGGAATTTTCCGACTTGACTGAGGCCGTCTCGAAGGGCTTGGCCAGCGGCCCGGGGCTGTGCGCTTCCCGGGCGCCGTGTCCGGGCAGCAGCAGTGGCCGTAGGGTGGCCCCGGCCGAGGCGCCGTCGGCCGGCAGCGGGGACGCCTCCTTGGGCGGCTTCTTGTCCGACATGAGCGCCTCCACGCTGAAGGGCAGGCTGGAGACCTTGACGCGGCGCTCCTCCGCGCCCCCCTCGGCGCCCCCCGGGCCCGGGCCCGGCCCGGCCCCCGCCGCCGGGCCCTCCTCATCCGACGAAAACAGGTCGTTGCCTTTGGACGGAGAAGCCATGCCTCCTCTGCCCTCCGTAGCTCCCGGCGCCCGACTCCGCTGGCGACCCGGCAGCGGCGACTCCAACTTTTGGGGGGAGGCGGGAGGGGCGCGCGGCGAGCCGGCCTTTCCTCAAGGGAAGTGGAGACGCGGCCCGGCCAATGCGCGCCCGGCCTGGCGCTGACGCCACAGCCGCTCGCCTCCCATTGGCTCCCGCGGGGGAGGCTGGCCTTTCTCCTTCCCCTGTTTGAAATAAATTAGGAGTTAATTACAGGAGCAGTCAGCAGAGTTGTTATTAGGCTATCCCTCCAGGGTTATAATCACAGCGAAACTGAAAAGCCCAAGACGTAATTAAGGTCGATTATTTAAAGAGGAAGTTCGCCGAGTCCCATTTCTTCTCTCTTTGACCCCTCTTTAAAAGCTACCCCGCGCCCGTCCCACTACCCCATATCGCCAGAAAACGCCTTCAAATCTGCGACGGGCATTGCAGAAACATTTCTGAAGCGCCTACTATGCGCTGTTACTGGGCTCACTTTGCAATTCTAGGAGTCAGCACGGAAAAACACGGGGTAGCATCCCTGCTAAAGGAAATAATATATACTTGGCGCTTAGAAGACTGTCGCCACTGGCAAGCGCTTAACAGCCTTCGCTGTTATAACTCGTTCCTTCCCCTCGTCAAAGGGGCGGAGGGGGCCCCAGAGGGGTCAGCAGCTGCTCTCTCCCAAATACTTCCCAGTGGAGAATTTAAACCAGTGGTGGCCATCTCTTCCACATTGAAAACAATGCCAGTGCGCTTTTAGAAACTTGAAATCTGTGTGTTCTTGTCCCTTGAATCTCCTTTCTGGGTGAAATTCGGGTTCGATCTTTTTCTCAACAGTGCAAATGTGTGTTCGTGAATTTGTTTGAGCCTGTGTTTGTCATGTGTGTTTGGATGCCAGTGTTTGCCTAGGAGGGGGATGAGGTGGATGAAAAGTCGCGATAATATCTACTGACTCTCTTCACTTTGAAATCTCAGACATACCAGGTTCCAAGATTGCATACCCCAGGCCCTATGTACCTTTGGGGGAAGCACATTTTTATTCATTGAACCTAGTTTTTTGAAAAAGCATAAATATCCCCACCTCACTCCAAATTATACCCTCGGTAATTACACCCCAAAGCCTCTGCGATGGCAGCCTCAGCCTAGGAAAGGGGAGGTGAGCTTTGAGGCGCAGAGACCTCGGATCTCCGCAGGTCCTCAAGGCGCTGGGCCTAGGATAGCTTCAAAGGATTCTTTCCGGGCGGCAACTGCTTTTTCCTATATCTGGACGATTATCCGGAGAGTGAGGAGGTAAATAGGAAGTCGCCTGGCTCAGGACCTCGCCTAAAGCAGATGCTTGCTAAACATTCCCTAGAGCGTTGGAAGGAAGGGACATTGTTTTTAATTATTTAAATGACCAGCCTTGGAGTCTACCCCCTCCCCAGTTCAAGAGTAATAGAAACTTGACCCCTAGACCCACAGATCCTAAAACTCTTCCCAGAGTACCTCTCTGACATACTATGTTTCCTTCACCCCAATCATATGCCTGGAGTGAAACTGCGCTGGCAAGGGAGTACCGGGAAAAGTATTATCCGAATCTTAGAGGATAAAAACAGTCTGCACTGGCCAGCTAATTCAGTTTGATTAGAAGAGGTCCTGAAAAAATAAAAGAGTAAATACTCCTAAACACAGTCTTCTAAAACCTCTGAATCTCTTCCACAAGAAACACATACTTTTTTTTTTTTTAACCAACTGGAAGCTCAGAGAAAGTTAAAAAAAAAACAACTATGAAAGTTATCTGAAGATATATGCATTTTCCCCTTGAGTCATACCTGGTGCTAGTTGGCTTGATATGCATCTCAAATACAGTACAGGTAAATCCAGATGAAGCTCTGTGCCTTCTCGAAGTACAAGGCAAGGTGCAGGCTATATATTTTGGAAGCAACTCTGAAATTCGTTTAGCCTTCAGCTGCCAAAGTGTACAAAAAGGGTTCAACTTTCAGTTGGGCTGGACCCAGACAATGTTTTATAATTGTTCCTGAAAACTCATTGTTAATATTTGTCAGCTATGGGGCACACAGGCTCATTCCTGGGAAATTCACCACAAAAATCAATACCACTGGAGCTCCTTTATTTTTATGAATTTCTCTGGGAGAGGAAAAACCAGGTTCCCCTCAAAACTCTGGGATCCTGAAGTCCAGGGAAAGAAAATTATGAAGCTAAAATAGGAAAATAATACAGATAAAAGGGAAAAAATAACCGGTGTTCAAAACCAGATTGCCAAGCTCTGGCCATAAATAGGAAAGATGCCCAGGGAGGCAGGCGACCCGCTCCCCCTGCCCTCTGCCAGCTCCCTCCCCCGCTCTAACGGGGTGGAGACAATTTGGGAAAGGGTCTTACTTCCACTGGGAAAAGGCTGGAACCTCTGCACAACTCTCGCCCTTTTATAGAAAGCCCCATACAAGCATTTGCCCCAACCTGGCTGCGTTTTCAGAACGTCTATTCACATTTTCCTGGCGGCACGGCCGTAGGCACTCCACGTTGCCTCCTCTAGGCAGCTTTGTTGTTGTTGTTAATCTCTTAAATAAGAGATAATAATCCCTACCTGGGATGGCTATTGTGGTAATTAAATTCAATAGGCTATATAAAGTAACTAGAAGGCGTAGGGGCTCAGTTTCTAAAACCCAAAACTATTATTGTATATCAAAAGCAATAACTATTTATCGAATGCTTTCTCTCTGCCAGGTATCCAAAAATGAGGTGCATGGCCGCCTTCACGGAGCTCGCGGTAGACTGTAAAATTTCCGGGGTTGAGAATTTAGCCCGGCCTGAAAAGAGTCGGGTTGGGTACATAATCCCTTAGTGGAGTCAGAGGCGCTCAGTAAGTGCTAGTTGCCGGGGTGTTTACGTGGCTGCAGTATTTGCTGCTAGAAACGTGGGGTTCCAATGAGAACTCCGCCACCAGGTGCCTTAGTGCCTGGACCTGTCCAGGATCTTTTAGTTCTTCCAACTCGCCGCTGCGGGCGGAGGCAATTTCCCCCATTTTACAGATGAAAAGCCCAAGGCTAGGAGCGGCTAACTAAATTCGCTGCCGGGTCCCGCAGGGCGAGGGGAAGGCCTGGGCACCCCCGCGGGCCGAGGCCTCTGCGCGCACACCCGGACTCGCGCCTCCCGCGCCGCCCGGGGCGTGCTCCGCGCCCAGTCCCCTCCGTGGGCAGCCACGTTCGTGCGCCGCGGGTCCGGCGAGAAAGCATTCCCGCAAACTGTGGAGCGCCGCGCGCACACCGCAGCGTCGTTACCCGGACCGACCGCCGGATCGCGGCGGCTGGGAGGAGGCGGGGGAGGGGCAGGGAAGGGGCTGTAGACGGGCCTGGGCTGCGGGCAGGCGCCAGGCGCGGGGAGATGAAAGGCGGGCTCCGGGGAAGGGGCTGCGCCGGGTGACCGGCTCCAGCCGCGCCGGGCGCCCCGCCCCCGCTGCCCCGGGCTGAGGTGGCTGCCCGCGCCGGAGCCGCGTTAATTGCTCTCGGCCCGGCACTCAGCCTGCGCGGAGCCGGGACAACCTCGCTCCAGGAGGAATGACAATTCTCCCTAATGGGACAACCTCGCTCCCAAAGGAGTGACAATTCCTCCTAATGGGCGCTCGTTAGCGGCCTATTCTACCGAACCCCGGTATCAGCAGCGGCAGACACGCGGGCGCCAACATCCGCCAGGCATTCCAGAACACAGCTCACACCCCCGCCCCAAGACGTTCGCTGTGTGACCTCGGGCAGAAGGCTGCTCCTCTCTGAGCTCATTTTTCTTACCTGTGCGGTGTCGAGCAGAGTGAGGAGAGCCAGACCTCATATCCCCTGGTGTCCAGAGAGATCACTCTCCGAGTTACACAGCCCGGGAAGTAGCGTAGACAGGTGTTGGGGTCGCAGCCGCGGTTCTTTGGAGTCAATGCCTTGCTTGTGAAGTTCTGGACGCTCAAGTTGCTTGTCTCCAGCGCCCCAACTACGCAGGTCCGGAGTCGGATCTGAGCCCGGGTCTGAGGGAGGGTGGAGAGGAGGAGGCTTTGCCAAGCGCTGTGCAGGTCACTGAGGGTCTCCTGAAGCCCGAGCTTTGGGTGGCGCCCCATTCCACAGGTGCGGAGGTCGGCAGAGAGGAGGAGGGACTGGCCTACGACCAGCTGCAGCTGAGCCTAATTCCACACCGTCCCCCTGGAAGAAGCCCACCACATGGACACGGGGGCTGGGGGGAGTGGTGACAGCAGCTGCATGTCTCTGCAGGTCCCATGGCCTGCAGAGGGAATGGCAGGTGTTCGGAGACTTCCGGTTGTTCCTTGCCACAGCAGGTGTGGGTGCCCACCGTCTGTAGTACTGCCTGCAAGTCAGGCCCCATTGCTTAGCATTGCCACCATCACCTGGCTCGGGCCAGGTTTCCCCTTTCAGAAAATGGGCATGCTAATGCCCAGCCCACAGGATTGCTGGTGATGACCAGGTGAGAAACCTTACAAGAAACAAGTAGCAGGAGTGTGGCTGTAGCAGGTGCTGACATGGAAGAGAGCCGCCTGAACCGCATAGGGCTGTGCTGCCTGTAGCTCCACACACAGGAGAAGGGCTCCCTAGGTCATGGATTCCTGAACAGTGCAGCAGGAATCTCAAATCTCTCTTATTTGGTGGCCTCCAAGTTACTTATTTCGAACCACTTATTTCCCATGGAACTCTGGGTAAATCACTTCACCTTTCTGTCACTATCTGTAATATGGGAGTGCCTAGGATTCAGTAAACGTTGAATGTTATTATCATTTCTTAAATCGTTATTGATATTATTTGCTGCTTCCCTTTCCAGTAGATCTTTCTGGCAGCATGCACATATCTGAGATCCAGTGATCCAGTGTTGGATGATTTGAGGCATGAACTGCAGCTTTCTTGAGCTTTGGTTATTTTACTTTATTTTTTTTCTCTGTAAAATGGGAATAATTACCCACCTCTTGAGAAGGAAGCAGATTGGCAACTGGCTAGTGAGGGTCAGGGTTAAGGGAAGAAGAATCAATTTAGACAAACTGCAGGGAGTACCTCCTCTCTCCTTGCCCTGGGCACAGCTT